GATTAAAGTATTTGTTTGGACAAATTTGATTTTCCCTAAGATTTTGATGTTTCCCACGATTATTTATTTTAATACGCTCCAAAATGATACACCCATATATCTGAAAAACCCATAAAACCATAAATTTAATAAAACAAATACAAAAGTGGAAACTGAGTCAACAATTGCGGCCAAGCTAAAGGCAACTGAAATTTTGTAAGCCGAAAAACGTGATTTATTTGTCGTCCTAGGAAACCCAGGGCCTAGACCCCTACTCCTCTCTCTCCCAACTCCTCTTTGAGAAAAATTTTAATACTCCATTTCGCATCGTATTAAAATAAATATATAATTCATTGATTAAAGACAACAATATCTCAAGTGGTTTTAGACACGGTCCTAATAATTTTGTTTTTAATTTCACTCAAATAACTCGTACCAATAGAGAGAATAATCCTCATTTATATATCATGGATCATGTTGATGTAAAATTATACCGAGCTGTCGAGGTCAGCCACGTGGCAACGGACTGAGCTGACGAGGTGCGAGCTCATGCAAGGTATGACATGCAAAAAGAAAATAAACATCACGACGCTCAAATTAGTATAGGTGCGACCTTAAATAGGTCATTCTTGGAGTAGAATTGCATACGTGAGTAAGAGGAATAAAGATCTTCTATAGGCGGAGTGAAGACACGTCCGTTATGATCGTTACGACAAGGTGGTTAGATGTCGGGCCATAGATTGGTAATGATTGAGGTCAGCTATGGATGAACTTAAGCTCGGCCATAGGTGAGCTTATGAGCTCGGCACTAAGTGAGCTTAGGAGGTCGGTGGTTGCTTGACCATATCTCGTCATGTGGTATGTCATATTTTTGTTCCCAGCAAATCGTATTCTTCCTACCCAATGTGAAACTTTGTCTGCATTTTCTTTACGGATCCCATACAATTAATATTAAGAAATTGTTTATAAAAACAAATTATAGTACAAATAAAAGTGTACAACACTCCCGTAACACAAAGAACTTTTCCCTTATGCCCAAGGATATGGTTTGATTTCTATGCTATATATGTGGTACTTTTGATTCTTGTAATAAATATGTAGATAACTTATGATTTAGTAAAGCTTATTATTATTATTTTTAATTTTATTTAAATTACCATTTAAGTTTCTTTTCAAACTGTGTATCTTGTTTTAGTATCTGAACTTTCAAGATTATTCAATTTCGGTCTTTATAATTTTAAAATATTTAATTTTGTCTCTAAATTTTTAGGTTTCTTTCCTTTCATTCACAAATTTTCATAATATCTATTTTAGTCTTTGTTTTTATTTACTTTTATAAATTGATAATGTAGCTTTGAGTATGTATACTAACTTATTAATGTAGCATGTATTTAGAGTAAGTAAGGTTAGAGATAAGTGTGTTATTAGATTATAAGTTTGATCCCTAAACTCTAAAAATGCTTTGTAGGTTAGAAATCTATTAGATACAAACTTAAAAATTAAACCATAGATTAGATATACAATTGAAAGTTAAAAATTACTATTCTTATTCTTAGTAACATAATCTGATAATTTAACCACATCTAAAATGTAACAATATTAGTATTTATTATTCGTCTCCTACCTAATTAATTTAGGTTAATAGGTTGAAAATTTTAGTGCGTTGTTTAGTTTAGATGTAGAAAATTCTAGTGCTGTTGAGATGTTAGAAACAAGGTATTAAATATATCTTGATATTTCCATATATCTATGAGTTCAACATCAACACGAGGAGTAAATAGATATTTTCATAAAATTATAAAAAAATTGAAAAGAAAATATGAAAATAATAAACAAAATATCATTAATATAGACATGATATTAATATTAATAACTTTAAAGTTATTTTGAAAGAATGAAATGCTTATTTGTTAATTTAAATATTTTTTAGAACTTTTTCATAAATATCTATCAACACCGACCATCTTAATTATAAAGTTAAAAAGGCATTAAAAATAACGATATTATTGATTGTTTTTAGAATGAAAATAAATTTCAAACACGTGGTTGAAAAACGAGGGGGAAATGACATTTTTTGGTTTAAATTGAAAGTAAATGTAGTAAAACAAGGGTGAGTAAGCCCATAACTAAAACAAAAAGAAAAGTAAATTCATCAATTAAAATAAAACAAATTTGAAAGTTCATGAAGTAAAATAAATATTTTAAAAATTTAAAAAAATTATATAGACTTTTATTTACTCTAAAAATGTTTAAGCTTAAAAGATCATCCAAGTAATTTAAATTATAATTTGACATTACATAAGAAATACTTTTTAACTATTCATAAACACTTTTTTACCTACTATAAATAAATTACTTTAAAAAAAATTGGCTGGATATTAAAACTAATCATAAGCATTAAACATAACTATGTAATTTAGACATATATAAAATGCGGAGGGTTATAAAATATATCGTTTTCTATGTGTTTGAGATTCAAACATTAAATTTTAAGGTTTTGTTGTGTTCAAAAATTTTGACATATTATTATTATTATTATTATTATTATTATTATTATTATTATTTAATATTAACCATTTCTATTAGTAGATATATATTAGATGCAGACAAAGTTGAGTTTGGATGGAATACTTTAATACTCGTTGCCTTAATAATTAGTAATCATGCCAAGAAATTCATACATTTAATGTTGGGTTTATATATTTTTAGTTTTTTCTTTTAGTATTTTAAGAATTAAAAAAAATAATTTTATTTATTAAAACCTAATATTTACTTTAATGACGTTTTTAGTCAACTTTCAAAACTGTTCGATTTTATTCTATTATATTTGTTTTAAAAAGTTTAAAAATTAACCAAACTTTAAATCAAGTAATTTTGAACTAAAAAAAATTCAAGTAATTTTCAAAAAACAAAACAACTATTTGTTAATAATCTAAAAGTACACTTAGAAAGATAGAAAATAAAACAAGAAATTTACCGAGTAACATAGGCTTAATTTTTAAGAACAATCAACTAAAAAAATGCTTTGATTTTTTAGAGGAGAAAACGAAATTGTTCTTGAAATCTTTAAAAATGAATAATGTTGAAAAACGTATTGTAGTTTAAAAATATAAGATAAAACGAAAAACTTGAAACGGAACTGTCATCAAACATGATCAAATGCTATGACTTTGACTTTCTTATTTGCATGAGACAATATATAGATAATGCACTTTCGTTTTAGATAATTTCCAATCTTCCACTTTTATATCTGTGGTACTAAAAATAAGAATACATTTTTTTTAAAAAAAAAAACTTTAGTTTAGGTTAAGAAATTTGGAAATTTGGTTTTCTTATTTTTATTGTAATCATATACTTCACCGAATTTGCTTTTTAATATGCTTTCAATCTTTTAAGATCGCAATAAATATCCTATCCACTCCTAATAAAATTATTATTTTCATTTATATTATTTACAAGTTATATAACCTTTAAAATAAATAAAAGTCATAATTGAAAAAAATTAACTTCTAGTTCTAACTAATTAAATAAATTATTCTTGGTCAATAAACTAAGATATTTTAAGGAAGGATTATTCCGACAGTGATTAGCTTCTTACCGAATTTAAGTCAAATGAAATTTCTAGTACCCTTTTTCTGCTTTTCGAGCGAACTTTTAGGGTCTTGAATAAATCTCTATGATATGGTAAACAAAGAATATTAGAGAAAGCAACAAATAGAGATTATTCGATTGAGAGCCAAATGAGATGATATCTTCACGTCCAGATTGAATTTTCATTTTTTTTAATACAACATATAAAAGTGTAAATTCAAACGTGCGATTTTTTAGTCAGCTAAAGGAGCAGATTCTCATATGTCGCTTTCGTAATTACTTATTTTAAAAAAAAAACTTATTAATATTATTTTTCAAAATTTGAAGTCATGAAAAGTGTGTTTCTTGTAATAATCACGAAATTAAAATGTAGAGTAATAGATGTGGTTGAATTTTAACGATCAAGCGGCCGTACGCATACACACGACCGCTACGTGTTGATTGGGCGGTTAGTTATAGACGGCTGTCCCCGTCTATGAAACACCACGGATAAATGTGTTGCAAAATAGAGGATTATTACCTTCCCAATATCAAGATCAACCGATGACCGAATGAGCCGGTGGCTTCCTTGATGAAAGAGAAAAATATTTATATTAATATAATATAAATCTATAATATATATATTATTATTCCCTTGCTCTTAGAATGGGTCTGAAATGTTCCTTCACACGTCCCATCCTCTTCCTTCATCTTTCTCCGCCGTGGAATCAGATAGTTGCCAATAATTTCAGGTTCCTCCGGTGCCGAAATCTTCGCCGTCGTAATGACGAATGCTACCGCTTCTCGAGCTTTTCCGGCTCGATTCTTGTCTCTCTTTTACTGAGCATCTTCATCTTTTACTATTCTGCTACTCCGGCGTCCGGCGACCGGCGTCCGGCATCGGAAGAGGAGAAGCTCGGAGTTCACTATTTACTTCTACTTTCTCTGCTGCTCAATCTTCGTTCGTCGAGCTCCCTCATATGAAGATCTTTTAGTAGTTTCCTTTTCTTGATTGTATTTCTGGGATTTTTTTTCTTTATCCATTTGTATTGTTAGTGCGATTGATTCTTCCACGCTTTCCCTGGTTTCTGATAGCGATTGATTTCTACTGTTCGATCGAACTGGTTGATCGATGCTTAAATGTTGAACTGGATCAATCGCGAAGGCGCGTAGTAGGAAAATCGAAATAGAATTCAGGATTGTAAACTTGGAAGGAAGAGAGAATTGAGAGAAGATGTTTGATCTTAATCTCAATGTCGACTCGCCCGATGCGACTCAGAATGGCGATTCTGTCATGTTCTTTGAGAAACTTCCTCAAGGCTCGGGGAACCAAATGGATGAATATGAATCAGGAACTTCCAATTCTTCGATTGTCAATGCGGATACCTCCAGCAATGGGGGCGATGACGACTCGTGCTCCACACGCGCCGCTGGCGAGCTTTTCACGTTCAACTTCGAGATATTGAAGGCTGGAAGCGCGAACGACGTCGTCACAAAGGAGTTTTTCCCGATAGGTGGAACAGTGAATGCTGACTTCGGGAGTCTTCAGGGGCAAAATTCTGCCTCTTCTTCGTCATCTTCATCGAGGAAGAACTGGATCAACCTTGCATTTGATCGAAGCGGGTCAGGAGGGGAGGGGAGGATTGTTCAGCCAGTTCAGCCTCAGCAGGTGAAGAAGAGCAGGAGGGGACCAAGGTCTCGGAGCTCGCAGTACCGAGGCGTCACATTCTACAGGAGGACTGGGCGGTGGGAATCTCATATTTGGTGAGGGAATTTATTTGACTACTTCTTTGGTTTTTTTTTTTTTTTTTTGAATCGTGTGATGGTTTGCGTTTGCCGTTTTCATCAAATTCCGACAGGTCTTCGTTCACTCGATAAATTTATCCTTCAGTTGAGTTACTATGAATTTATTTGCCTGGTTATATCAAATATCTAATTCACTCCGATCTATGCTTCATTGGCACATCAATTATCTGAACTTCTTGTTTGTCAACTGTTTGCGTGCAGGGACTGCGGAAAGCAAGTCTATCTTGGTATGAATTGGACTCTATTCTTAATTGACCTTGGTTTATGTTAATTATGGAAATATTTGTTACCTTCCACATTTTCCGATATTTGTTATTTAAGGAAATTTTCGATATAATATGCTCTATTGGGGCAAATTTCTGATGAAGTGATAATTCTTCGGTTCCTGCAGGTGGATTCGACACTGCACATTCGGCAGCAAGGTATTATACATTTGCGTATAGGAGAAAGGCCACTTTTATTCTATTTTGCATTAAGAATTCATGTTTGACTTTTTGAAGTTTTCCAAATTTAGAGCATATGATCGAGCCGCTATCAAGTTCAGAGGGGTCGACGCTGATATTAATTTCAATCTTAGTGATTATGAGGAAGATCTGAAACAGGTCGATTGAATTGCCATCTCTTTTTCTTTTTCTTTTTTTTTTCTTCAAAGAACTTGTTTCATTGTCAAATGATATAACGTTATTTGAATTACGTTTTCTAATAATTTCCTGTATCCATTAATAATATTCTGGAGCAGATGAAGAATTTGAGCAAGGAAGAGTTTGTTCACATACTTCGTCGTCAGAGCACTGGTTTCTCAAGGGGGAGCTCAAAATATAGAGGGGTGACACTCCACAAATGTGGCCGATGGGAAGCTAGAATGGGGCAGCTCCTTGGGAAAAAGTGAGCTATCATTTTGTGAAATTGAAAACATATGCTTTACTTTTTTATCTTGGTTTAGAGGATTGAGAATAAACGTTATGTAGCAAACTGAGACTTGGTTTCAAGTCTTTTCTCAATGGGTATTCTTTGTTCTTTCCTCACTTGGGAAAATAGAAATCTAAGATGCCTATTTCGAGAAGAAATGGGATGGTGTTTTCATCATGGAGGTTACAATCCTTGCGTGCAGGTATATATATCTTGGGCTATTCGACAGCGAGGTAGAAGCTGCAAGGTCTTAAAACACGAAATTCACTCTACCTGAACTGATATTATTATCCTGAATTCTCAACCTCAATAGGCATCCAACCAACACGTCTCCCTTTTTATTTTTCTCGAAATTAGGGCTTACGACAAGGCAGCAATCAAATGTAATGGGCGGGAGGCAGTAACCAACTTTGAGCCAAGCACGTATGAAGGAGAGAGGGTTTCTGAGGGCAGCAGTGAAGGTAACTTGCTATAACCATATGTGCTTATGTACCGGCGATCTCCTAGTAATCAATATCATCTTTTGCAATACTAGGAAGTCATCCTTTCGCTGGTAATTGATTGTGTGTTCAAATTCCAATATAGGTGGTCGGAACATGCTTGATTTGAATTTGGGGATTTCACCCCCCTCACTTGAAAATTGTCAAAAAGATAATGAGGGGCATCTGCGGTTCCAGTCTGGTCCTTATTATGCTAATGACAGGAGCACAATGGTAATCACTAAACAAACATTATGTGAAATATTCCAGTTTCTATTGAGTAATGGGAGTTCCCAAAATAATATAATTTTCTGTATTTTTCACACTTCACATAAGGAATGACTGACATAATTTTTTTTTATAAACCTACCCTGAATCACATTTTGTAATTTCTGTGTTGAAGATGGAGAGCAATGCTGATGCAGCAGTTGGCGATCCACCTTTCAAAGGATTGGTAATGACATCAGAGCATGCTCCCTTATGGAATGGTTTACAATCTAGCTTCTTTCCCAATGAGGTGAGTTTCATTGCTGTGATTTTATTGTAGAAAGCATAGTTTAGCATTTGTGAACTTTTTCGCAATCAATTTCCAGGTTATATCAATTTTGACAATCCAAATAAATATGCTACAATCAATTGTATCCTATAACATTTTCGGTCACTGAAATAGCAGTTGTTGTTTGTTGCTCCTAGTGTCCAATGACTCGGAGGATGAAGAACTTGACCTTACCAATTCATTGCATTGCTTAGTGGATAACATAGTACAATACTACACGACTTATTTTTACGGCCATAGACACTACTTTAAACTTGATAGTAATGGATGCTACCATTCGATCTTATGTTGGAAACTGTTAACAACACATCAGATGTTAGAGCAAACAGAGGCTGATTACATGGTTAATGCAATTTTCAAGAGTTGATTATCTGAATTTTGTTTACAGGAAAGCGTGACAGAGAAGAGACTTGCATTAGGTTCATCGCAAGGAGTCCCCGACTGGCCATGGCAAATTCATGGCCAGGTTAATGCCACCCAAGTGCCCTTGTTCTCTGCTGCAGCATCATCAGGATTCTCATTTTCAGCTACCCATCTCCCGGCTGCCATCCATCCCCCGCGCCAACCGGGATTGACCGCCCATAATCTCCATTTCACTCCTGCCAAAGCTTCCCTCAACTCCTCTCAATATCGCCACCAGTTTAACCCACAACAGGCACCACCATAATCCTTATTCTTCTATATTAGAAGGTGACCAAAAGTAAAATGCTTAACTGGTTATCTTCTTTTCATTCGTATGTTTTAAGTAACAATTGATTTGCACTTTGTCTTGATTTCTGACTAATATCTCACTACAAAAATACTATGTTTCATATTTCTGCACCTGAAAAATATGATATAATATAATACGTTCTCTTGCATTCATTACTGTACACGTTTGTAGCAGTAACTTCCTGCATTTTTTTCTGTGTTCCCTGTGGCATCTGTCTCAGTTTCTATTTGGTCATAACTTAGAACTGTCCCAATTTCATATTCCTTTGCTTTTATAGAACAGTTTCTGTAATGGTTAAACTGTCCTCTCTCTAAGAACTTGAAAGAAAGATTCTTGTCCATAGGAGAGGTGCCCACCTCCCCTTCCCCTCCCCCTCCTTTTTGGTGCACTTTTTTTTTTACCTTTTTACCCCTTACACTTTCTAATGAACTTCTTGTCAGTGGAACTAGGACTGTGATTTATGGTTCCTTGTTACACCTGAAGTTTCATTTGTTTTCGTATGCTTTTTCTGACTCACTCACTGCTTTCTGGGTGGGAACAGTGAGTGATATTTGTGGTCAAATTTGAGGAAACGTGGTGTTCTGATATTGCTTTTGAATTACAGGTGGGGAATTGGAATTAATATATATTTTTTGGACTGATGTTGATTTGCCCTATGGTCCATCTTATCTAAGAGATGGTTGAATTGAATTGACAAGGATTGAAATTACATTCTTCTTTAAGATGAGTTCTTTTGAAATTTTTGTTTTAGGATGGGTTTGAGATAACTTTGAAGTGGTGGGGAAGTATTTTTAGCTAATTAAAAGCATTCATTTTTTAGAAAAATTATGATGTTTAGGTCACACAATCCTAAGTACTCTGAATAATCTAAGAGCACCATCTTAAAAAGTACTGTTAAAGCATGCTTTAGTCAAATATAATTATTTCTAGATTTTTGAGAATTCGAATGACTATTTTGAAAAATACTTAAAAATTAATTATGGCGTAACTGTTGAGTTATGCTATAGATCCTAAAATTACTAGATGAGTAAAGGCAGAATGAGATTATTATATTCCAAAAGGATTTGGATTATTACGTAAAGCGATGCATTGAACTCATGATGTTACTGTTATCTCTGCCTCTTCTATGTCTCTTTACCCACTTTCTTCGTTTGTTTTTGTTTTTGTTTCTGTTTTTTTTTAATTTCTCATCTCATTGTACTGTCAAATCAATCATCTCTCACTCTCTTTGCTGGCACACTCCATTTCCCACTCTCCCATCCCCTTAAAATACCACCTCACTTGAGGACCCTTTGTTCTTTGTTTTGTTGTAATTCTTTTCGATAACACGTATCTGTATTTTCACGTTTGTTTTGTGAGAATGTAGGATATCTGAGAAATTTGAGATGTTCTTTATTTATATATATATATATATATATATATACATATATATAAATACTACTATTAAGTATATTTATACATGTAAAATAAATTGCAATTAGATTATCCAATATCTTCATTTATTTTTAATAGTCCGAAGGAATTACATGATTAATAATATTTATTAACGACTGCGATATTTTTATTCTTAAAAAAAATATAATGTGATAATAAGGTAAAAAATATTTCACCCAAGATTATATAAATTATATGATCGTCGTTTTGGAAAACTATTAAAATTGAAATGAAATTTATATTAAGTTAATATGAATTAATTTGTTCTCCGAAATAACATATAAAAAAATAAAAATATTAAATTAATTTAAATAAATCTATTATATTAAATGAATTTATAAATTATATGAATATTCGTAAGAACATTTTTGGAACTTTCTACAAATTTAACACAGAAACAAACCTAGTTATCTAAAGATGCAGAACATCTAAAATTCCATGCATCTATAGATGTCGAGCCTCTACATTTCCGAAAAACAAAATTTCAAGCATCTATAGATGTCGGATATCTACATTTCCGAAAAACAAACGACCTCTAATGGTAATTAAAATCCATCGAAATCTAATTCAACCAATCTTTTACCTCGCAATTATTCATGGTTAAAAATATATATTTTTAATCTTTCTTGCACTAGTATAACTAGGGTTAGTGATTGCTCATGTCCACTCGGGAGCGAGGAGGCGTTTAACTTGACAAATAGTGGTACGTTTCTTAATTGGTCGTTCGATATCTGTCTATCATGGCATAACATGGTATATCTTTATTATCCTTAGTGAAACATTTGGTGGTTATGTCCATCTAAGATTTTATGGAAATTGACTAATATCTCTTTAAATATCATATACATGATTATTTGAGATATTACTTTTATGTACCCTCATATTTAGTTTTTCACTTTTGCATAGCATCACACACTTGATTTAATGTAACGATGGATCAAATTTGTTTGAGCAACTACTACCACCAATGTTAGTTTAACATTCACTTTTAGATCTTGAATTTATCTAATTTTAATCCGAACTTTCATTAGAATCTATTGATAATGATGTTTACAGACAATGATGTGGATGCAAGTTTTTTAAAGTTTTGAATCACAATTAATCGTTGTTAGAATCCATATAAATGAATTAAATTTATCCAACACATCAACTTAAGCTTTTGAGTTGGGTGGTGGTTTATTCATTCTTGTGATGGTATCAGAGCGGGTAAATATTTTCTATTAACATATTTGTCGATTTTGAAGAAGGAATAAGATATCACTTTTTGTCCCATTTTGCTTTAGCTTAGAATTGGAATCCAATGAAAGCACAAGTATCCCATTTTTAGAAAATTTAATTTAGATTAAAAGAGTTTATTTTGGAAATATGCAATTTTTCTTTTACTAACTCTTCCTATTTAAATTTTCTTTTCCTTTTACTTTTTCCTTTTTTTTTTAATGGTAGTCCTTTTTACTTTTTCAAAATTTGGGCAGAATATTCAATGCTTAAAAGTTAAATACATTTGAAAATTTTGCAAAATTTTTTTCTTCAAAAGAATTATTATAGGGAAAGGAATAGCACCTTTTTCTTTCTGAGTAAGGACGACTTTTTGACTAAAAATAGGTATCTAGTTGACCTATACTTAGGTTAGCGAAGAAGGAATAGTAATTAAGGGAGTCAGACTCACAAATTTAATTTGTATATAATAAAGCTACGAAGTTAAGTTTGCTTTGATATATGAGTTTGTTTATTCCAAATCAACATATAAAATATATTTAAACTTAGACTTCTAAAAAGTTTATTTCAAAATACACCACTAATTTTACAAATTATAATAAAAAATCAAATACAATTTAGAACTTATGACTTATTAAACTTATAGTGCACAAACTCAAGTCTATTCCACACACACACACACATATATATAAATCCCAGAAATCTTCATCGATTTAAGATATATCAATAGATTGTTTTTATTGTAAGTAGAATGTTGCCAAGAAAATAGTGGAGAGAGATGGAATAGATAATAAATTATAATTAGTTTATTGATTGCATTGATGTAAATATGAATTTTAAAAATCGCTATATTGCCTTGGCATGAAGTACTCATGCTATAATTCTTAAAAACATAAATAAATAAAAATAAAACTATTCTTTCTTCAAGATAGAAATGCTCATAAAATTTGTAAA